TTCATGCCATGAGCATCTCAGAATGTAATGCTCGACATCATCCACTTCACCCATACCACAGAGGCATATTCTGGAGGCGGCAGGGACACCCCGAAAGCGGCCAATACAAACCATTGAGGGTATGACGTGGAACCTTAGGGCAGTAAAAGCCCTTCTCAGCTCCAGAGTAGTTAGTTTCTCAAGATATACAGTCCTGCAATGATCTCTTTTAAAGATCTTAATGTATTTACTTACTTCATTTATACCCCAGCTTTCTCCCTGATGGGAACGCAAAGCAGTTTACATCCTCTTTTTCTCCTCCATTTTATCCACACAACAACCCCATGAGGCAGGTCAGGCTGAGAGTGTATGGCAACCCAGAAAGCTTCCATGGCAGAGTGTGGTTTTGAACCTGGTCTCCCAGATTTTAATCCAGTACTGCAACCACTACATCACCTTGGTAAAGTGGGGGAAACACATAGAATCACAGAGCTGAAAGGTACCTCCAGGGTCATCTAGTCCAACCCCTACACATAAGAACATAAGAGACGCCAATGTTGGATCAGGCCAAATGCCCATCCAGTCCATCACTCTGTGTCACACAGTGGCCAGAAATACCAGTGCCATCAGGAGGTCCACCAGTGGGGCCAGGACATTAGAAGCCCCAAAGTGGCAATCAGCGTTTCCCTGGACATGTAAAATGTGTTGATTGATGGGTTGATAGAGTTTGGTGTAGTGGTTAAGCACGCCGGTTTGGTGTAGTGGTTAAGCACGCCAGTTTGGTGTAGTGGTTAAGTGCGTGGACTCTAATCTGGGAGAACCGGGTTTGATTCCCCACTCCTCCACTTGCACCTGGCTGGATGACCTTGAGCAAGCCATAGTTCTGATAAGAGCTGTTCTTGAAAAAGAGCAGTTTCTGTCAAGAGCTCTCTCAGCCCCACCTACCTCACAGGGTGTCTTTGTGGGGAGGGGAAGGGAAAGGAGTTTGTAAGCTGCTCTGAGACACCTTTGGGTAGTGAAGGGCGGGGTATAAATCCAATATCATCTTCTTCTTCTTTGCCCGGCCAAGTCTGATCTTAATTCCCCCCCCACAAATGCATGTTCAAATGCATGCATATAAGGGGTGTGTGTGTCCAGTTACCAACTAGTCCCCAGGAGCTTTTCCATGCTCTCATTGTGATAAGATAGATAGGAGGGGGAAGCTCTGTGCATCTGTAATTCAGAAGTGATAGTATTTTCCTTTCATGTCATGTTTTAAAGTTGGAGAATGGGATGCAGGGTATGTTGGGTGTTGGTGGGGAAGCATGAAAAAAGTCACATATAGGGCTGTATTATTACATCGACTCTTGATGCCCTGTCACTTATGAGCGTGGCATGCATGCACTTATTTATTTGGATAGCAGTACCAGTTGTGCAAGACATTTGCGAAGTCGTGTATTCTGAGGAGCCTGCAGTCTAAATTTCTACGTGGGAGAGGAAAAGGGTTAAAAGGGGAAGGAACTGTGCAGGCTCCATGACATGTATTTAGGCTTCATTTCAGTTAGGTCCAAGGGGGTAAGGCCTGATTCATGCGTGCGGGGGGTGGGGGGATGAGACGGCAACGGGCAGAAGAATAACAATGGACTGTACAAGACTGCAAGGGATGGATGCCAGCTTTAAATGTTCCTTTGCATAAAAACACTCCAGGCAAAGAGAAAACCAGCAGGGGGGGGAGGTTCTAGTCCCTCCCTTTGCTGGCTGCTCCTGTTTGCGTGGAGTTTTTCATCTAGGGAAGCATTCCAAAACACCACTCTTCATCTGCTGTCCGCAGTGGCATTTCAGCAGATTCTCATTCAAGGCTTCGCGGAGGGGGCGCATGTTTTTTGAGGAGGAATCTGAAGGAAGAGAAGAAGTGTTACAGAGGTGTTACTTGCTTGCAGGGAGACCCAAGTGTAAGGTCCAACAAGGGAGACGGGACAGAGACCTTTGGATGGCTGAAGACGGTGGAGCTAAGGGAGCGAAGGTCCTGCTCAGAGGTACATCAGAATAGAAGGGCTGAGAGGTAAAGGTGGGGGAGGCCGTGGACGGCATTGAAATAAAGATTGAGAAGTTTGTATTGGCCCAGACCTGGATGGCCCAGGCAAGCCTGATCTCATCAGATCTCGGAAGCTAAGCAGGGCCGACCCTGGCAAGTACTTGGAAGGGAGACCTCCAAGGGATACCAAGGCCGTGACGCAGAGGCAGGCAATAGTAAGCCACCTCTCTGAATATCCTCCAGGCCCCCAGTACGGGTCAATCACTAGAAGTCGCCATGATTCCAGGTGCGTGCACACTCACTGGAATGCCTGCTAATAATAACATCCACGAACAGCTGTTACAGCTGTTCGAGACCCGCCGCGGCCAGAGTGAGCACCTGGCCCTTGTCCCAGCTCCCGCTAACCCAGCGGTTCGAAAGCGCCAAGTAACATCAAAAATACGCAAGTAGATAAATGGGAACCTACCTTAGAAGGTAGGGGGCACCCTCCCCCGCTGTGGGGGCCGTTGGAGCGTCAGAGCCCGGTGGAAGGCGAAAGCGGGAAGCGGCGAGCGGCGAAGATGGCCTCCGGGCACATCGGAGGCGGAACAGATGCCGGCGGAGAGGCGGAGCCAGCCAGGACGACACGCGAGCGTGGACCGCGCAGGCGGGGCGGAGCCGTGAGGACTGAGCCAAGGCCGCGCCGGAGCATGCCGCGTGACAGAAAGGCCCGACCGATCAGCCACTGAAAGACCGCCAGAAAGGAGCCAGAAGCTGAGTGACGCCGAAAGTCGACGTAGCTGACCTGGGAGAAAAACCCCTCCACTGGGTGCCGGTAGGGATTGTCCCCACCCCCAATAATTGTGGCCATAGGTTAGGGATAAATGAGTAACTGTAGCCGCTCAGAGACCCCTTAGGGGGTTAGAGCGGGGTAGTAAGCTGAAATAAAATAAATAAATAAATATGAAAAATACCAAAAAAAAAAGCAAAAAAAGGAGAGAAGTTTGTACTGAACAGGAGTGGGCAGGAAGCGGCTGGGAGGATTTGAGGAGGGGTATTGCAAATTTGCCGACCTCCAGGTGTGGCCTGAGGAATTCCTGGAATTATAACTAATCTAGACTACAGAGATCTCTTCCTCTGGAGAAAATGGCTGCTCTGGAAGGTGGACTCTGTGGCATCACATCCTCTTTCTTCTCCTAACCCCACCCTCCCTAGGATCCACCCACCGGGAGCTGGCAACCCAAATCAGTCTAAGTTTAGAGGTTTCCCAAAGTGTGGGCCTTGACTCTACCAGAGAGGGGCTACAAGGAAACTTGCGAGTCTTTCCTCACTGCAGGACCAGTTATCTCAAGGTTGGGCATGAAAAGTCCTAGCTACCTAAGCACGTGAGAGTGCAGCTGGGTGGATGGAACTGAGTGGGCGAGCGGTGGTGGTGGTGAAGTGAGGGAGGTTAGAAGGCGGGTGGGTCTATCCAAATCACTTTGGAGAAGGAAAGCAACTTTGAACATGTGCATGTGCCCTCAGAGCTGGAAGCCGAGTCCAGAAATCCTGAGGCCATTCACCCAGCCTTGTTCCCAGTTTCTAATCTAAATCCTAGTTCTCTCCCAGGTCAGAACTGAACCTGTCAACACATCATTCCCAAACTTATGTTTGTCTGTCGTTTTGCACGTTGTTGTTGGTTTTTTGGTCATCCCTCTCTTTGTGTGTGGGAGTCTCAGCTGCCTCTCTAACTCTAGATGAGCCTTTCCCCATCTGGATTCTTTCTGTCTTTCCACCCACCAGGCGGGCACAATGTTGGTAAGGGAGAGGTGAGATTTTGGCCGCAACTGCGGGGATGTCCCCCAAGAAGAACAAAAGCATTGCTTCTGTGAGCACTGCAGGAAGCCAGAGTGCAGGCGGAGAGAGGAGAAAGAAGAACAAGCGGAAGTCGGAGCGCCCACTCCGCAGCCCCCCAGAGGAGGAGGTGGCAGCAAAGAAAAAAAAGGTGCCATACCCACACCAGGCAGCACCAGCTAAAGGGGTGCGCCCCAACCTCTGCTCGGAGTGTGGGAAGAGTTTCCTACACTGTTTAGATCTAGTGAACCACCAATGGATTCACAGTGGCGACAAACCTTATGTGTGTACAGAGTGCGGCCACAGCTTCAGGCAAAGTTCCACCCTGATCACGCATCAGCGCATCCACACGGGTGAAGCCCCCTACGCCTGCGGCTTATGTGGCAAGCGCTTTCGTGTCAGCTCCAACTTTGTGCGTCATCGGCGCATCCATACCGGGGAGAAACCTTACACCTGCCCCATTTGTGCAAAAAGCTTCACTGACAAGTTGACACTGACACAGCACAAGTGCACGCACACGGGGGAGAAACCATACCGCTGTGCCGACTGTGGCAAGAGCTTCAGCCGCAGCTCCCACCGCAAGCGCCACTTGCGCCACCCGCCCACCCATGGCCATTCTCGCTGTTCCTGTCACCCACTTCCATCTTCACCAGACGGCTGCGGTGACAGACCCAAGGCCACCAAGGAAGCAAAGGGTAAGAGGCGGACACGAGCAGTTCCTGCAGCTGAATCCACCACTGAGATCTCCAACACATGTGCGGAATGTTGGCAGAGCTTCAGCCAAAACTCAGACCTGGTCAAGCACATGCAAATCCACACGGGGGAAAAGCCCTTCCTCTGCAGCCGCTGTGGCAAGCACTTCAGTGTCAGCTTAAACCTGACGCGACATCAGCGCATCCACACAGGTGAGAAGCTGCACGTCTGTGATGCCTGCGGCAAGGGCTTCACCGACAAGTCCACCCTGACACAGCACCAGCACACTGGTGAGAAGCCGTATATCCAGGGTTATTTTTGGGCAGGAACGCACAGGAACGGAGTTCCGGCTGGCTCCCAAGTTGGCCACACCCAGCAGGAACTCATTAGCATAATAGGCCACACCCAACAGCAGAAACTCATTAGGATTGGTGGGTGTGGCTGGATAACCACACTTCTGGTAACATGGGGGTGCGGCCTAATGTGCTAATGAGCTGTGCTGTCAGGCGTGTGGCCTAATATGCTAATGAGTTTCTGCTGTTGGGTGTGGCCTATTATGCTAATGAGTTCCTGCTGGGCTTTTTCTACAAAAAGAGCCCTGCGTATATCTGCATCTACTGTGGCAAGAACTTTAGCCGCAGCTCTCACCACAAGAGAAATGAGCGCACTCACACATCTGGGGATGACCCTCAGGCCTTCTTTCCATTTTGGCACGATCCTCCATCACAGATTTTCTAGCTCATAAAAAGAGGCAGGGAGGACGGGTATACTTACTGTGAGGAAGGTGGACAGGAACAGACAGATGCCTCATACCAGAAAAGCAGTGTCCTTCCATCATTAGAAAAGATCATCCAGTAGCACCTTAGAGACTAATAATATATGTGGCAGGGAAGGAGTTTTTGTGAATCACGGCTCACTTCTTCAGATACAACTAGAATGGGAGTCCATCTGTCCTATCTGTTGGGAAATGAAGGGATTTCAGATGCCGAATGACATTAGCAGGCAAATGACAATAGCAGGTGAATGACAGCAGCAGGTGTGATTACGAAAGCTCCTACCTGCCTCATATTTGGTTAGTCTTTAAGGTGCTCCTGGACTCTTGCTCTTTTCTACTGCTACAGACAGACTAACACGGCTACCCATCTTGAAAAGTGAATACTTTTTGTCCTTGGGTAGCCAATACGTTCTGGATAGGGACAAAAGATAGCACCCTCCCATTTCCCCCTTCTTAATTTATTCACTTAATAATGTATACATGAAGACATGTTTCTAGTGAAACAGAATGTAAATGGACACATGGGCTACCTTCCCTGTCCTTAACAATATCCGGGGACATTAAGAACTTCCTGAAATATTACCTGCTGAGACACGCCAACAGTTCCTCTGAGCGGAATCTCAGCCATAAAAATGAGACACTTTTTGACACTGCCATCAAGTGGTTTATGACCGGTAAGCACAGAGATGTGTAAGCTGCCCCAATTCATTTATTTGGTGGATGGGGAGTCTTGCAGTCTTGTCTTCAGAAGGTAAAGGTAAAGGTTCCCTTGCTCGAAAGCCAGTCGAATCCGACTCTAGGGTTGCGGTGCTCATCTCTGTTTCAAAGCCGAAGAGCCAGCGCTCTCCGAAGACGTTTCCGTGGTCATGTGGCCGGCATGACTAAACACCAAGGCTCACGGAATGCTGTTACTTTCCCACCGAAGTGGTACCTATTTATCTACTTGCAATTTCTTGCTTTCGAGCTGCTAGGTTGGCAGGAGCCGGAACTAGAGATGGGAGCTCACTCCATCATGCGGCACCCTGGTATCGAACTGCTGAACTACTGA